TTTTCAATTTTTTCGAGAATTGTTAACGCAATGATTACGCAAAATTCCTACAGCAGTATTCCAATTTATACACATCCTCCACTGATAAACCTAGAATTAACTTCCTGTAGCAAAACAGACACGCCGCCAGAGTTATTTAAAATAAAACTACGAACTATCTTAAGTCAATATCCAGACTATATAAAGATCTTCACAGACGGATCTAAAGAAAGTGGAAAAGTCGGAAGTGCTTTCGTGTGTCCGGATAAAAACATTTGCGAAAAACAGCGTCTGATAGAATATAGTTCAAATTACAGTGCCGAACTTTGTGCTTTAAAAATGGCGTTGAAATTTGACGAAAATAATGTCAACAATAATTTCCTGATACTGTCAGACTCTAAAAGTGCTCTTCAATCCATTAAAAATTTATATCCTACAAACAGTTACGTAAAAGACATTCACAAAATTTTATATAAAATTCAAGAACTGAACAAAAACGTTACATTCATTTGGATTCCTAAGTCACATAGGTATACTGGGAAATGAAGAAGCTGATGCAAAGGCGAAAGAAGCTTCCGAATTACAAACAGTAGACGACAGTACAGTTTCACCAGAGGATACCAAACATTTCATAAATACAACCATTTTCCAAAAGTGGTATGAGGACTGGGAAAACATCCAAAACAACAAACTACGAAAAATACAGCAAACACCAACTTACTGGAAACCAAAAGTGAAGCTAAATAGAAAACAGCAGGTTATTATATCAAGACTACGACTAGAACATACAAAACTGACTCACAAACATATCTACGAAAAGACACCGCCACCTAACTGTGATTTTTGTGACATACCTCTCTCAGTAGAACATATATTGTGCGAGTGTACAAAATTTAATATAGAACGAATACAGTACGGGATACCAAGAGACATTACGAATGTGTTTGAAATAGACATATTAAAGTTATTGGGTTATTTAGAAAATACAAACCTGTTAGATGAGATATAGATCACTCATGTAAATTTTTAAGTTAAGTTTAATGGTGTAAAAGACCTAAGCTGTTCAATGCACCTTAAATAAATTAATTAAATTAATTTTTTTGTAAATTTTTGCCGCGGTCCTTTTAGGTCGGAGCCCGTCTTCATTGCGTACCTTTGGGCGTTGTAGTTACGCCACTGTCCACGTTCCTTTTTTAAAGGTGCGGAAATGTTCGTAAACCCACCATTTTGCCATGTTCTGTTCAAATATTTGCAAGAGATCAAGATACTCAAGATTTAAATTACGATGCAGTTCAGAGAATTTTAAGCGGATCTGGAATCTACTTGTCAATAACAGCATCGAGATTATAAGAGAAGAGGCCTTTTTGAATCTTCCCCAACTTTGCTTGAATATATTTCCTGGTCAACAAGGAACTCGTCAGGATTAGTGAAAATGCATTTCAAGATTAGCCATCGTTAACTGCAGTGTGTCTGATCAATATTAATATGATCACAGATGTGTCGCCATGTTCTTTTAATAATCTTCCATATTCTTCTTTGACCATGGACCAGTACAGCTTTGAAAAATGACTACAGAGCTGGCCACGTCGATGCGGATGAGAAATTTAGTTTCTTCATACTGGCTGACGATAACACAACATTTCAATTCATTTTTCCTTTACGGCAATGTATGATGAGACCAAGTTCCGGCCACTGTCCACGTCTACTTGGTTGTGGGTATATGTACTGCTCGTTAAACGATGTTTTTTGATACCCTTTGTTTTTCGGCCCGGGAAGAGACGTGTCGTATGAATTTTGCCACGACACCGGTGGCGCCACCAGCGTGGATTAGGATCGGCCACGTGGCTTGCAGAAAATAGGTCAAATTGAGACGGGAATTGTGTTATTTTCCTTTATCTTACCATAGATAATTAAATTCAACGAAAACAAATGTATTCACATAGGAAGTTATCTATCAAACAAGTTTACCTGGCACATGTCAAACCCCCTTCACGTTTATAAGCGCATTACTATCTTATTTCGAAATGTACTATTAGTTGTATATTAAAAAAAAATAGTCTGCGATCCAAATAAAACTTTAGTGTGATTGGAAAATAAGGTAGAAAAATTAGGTCAGTGCGTTAGTTGAGATGCGTGTAATATGTATGCGTAATTGCTAGGTCATATAAATATAGGTTTTGTTATACAAGCAGGTTAGTTTTAGTCATATGTACCTAAGATGAGTTTGCAAGTTTACTACGGGGGATATAGTCAAACCATAATATTTTCTGGCAATATAAAATGCGTGCATTAGTGGAGCTCCTAGTGACCAATTACATTCTAAAAAAAAGATTCAGTACTAATTTTATTTGACAGTGACCTACCCCTACGGTTAGGCAACACACCTTTACCTCTGACACAAAAATGCGATACGCTAATAGTGATGCTACGTTTTCTATTTCGACCTTTCTGCGGAGATGCCAAAGACCAGGGTATTGTCATAACGAAGCTTGGGGATGAAGTTAGCGGCAGTTGACGGTGTTCGAATGTGGAGCTGGGTTTGAGTATAATGGCGGGTCTAGCGTTTATTTTGTTTGTTGTGTAGTAATCATTTTACTCTTTCTTGTACTGACTATTATCCATTGAATTTCAGGTCACAATTTGTTATTATTTACACGCATAAAATACTGATAGATAACTTCACTACACCTTCTGCTGCTATTCGCGAAGGAGAACTTCATTACACCTACTGCTGCTACTAGCATAGAAACACATCACTCATCACTGGGTCATATATAAAATAAATGGAATATAATATATAATAAAATATATTCATATTTTTATGTAATAATTGCACATTTAGAAAATAAAATCCCAAATTAAAATGCACATATAGATCTATTGTTATCCTTTCCCGGTGCGATAGAGACATTGTTTACAAACAATATGGAATTTAACAAACCAAGGCCGTTATAAGTTATCACATTCAGCATTGTGATGTATCAAAAACGTCAAACTTTGCGTTATTTAGTACAGGTAAAATGACATTTTTGACAGATAACCTGCGCGTTAAGTTTAACGTTAGTGGTACACATCACAGGACTAATTGACATTACTAGTTACGTCAGATTAACAGATAGGTATTATGAAAATTATTTAACGGCCAACTCTACCCAAACATGGTATTGAAAGCCTAAACGGTGTTACTTTTGAAAAAACTAATTAGATCTTTGAGTAAGAAACCTGTAAAAATAAAGCCATTATGAGGTAGAAGTTAGAAAATTGTTCGAATTAAAAAACGGACTCATTGAATTTCATTTTTTCCTTTTAGCGATCGATTTCGGGGTAATAAAGCCATTATGATTTATATGCAAAACTTGCTATAATAGCTAACACATTTATATTGAATCCTTCCTATAAAGATTCATCAATTTACTTGTTAATAACAATTGACCTATTTGTCAGTATAAATATATTGGAAATGAAAGAAATTGGATTTCCCCCTTTACGCTCAATTTACACTCCATAGCATCTACGCGAATATATTATAATGACAACGTTAAAAACCTCCATATAGTTTCAAAGGCAATAAAAAAAACCCAACATTGCTTGATGTGAAAAAGTCGAACTGACAATGGATTCATTCATTGCTGCATGTAAAAATTTATTTTAAAAAGTTGGCATGTGTAAAATTTGCATTGGTGGCAAATAAATAGCGTTGTAAAATTGTGTATACAAAAGGAAATAATTTGCAAGGCGATGCAGATACGGTCACATAAGGTGAAAAAATTACGCTCTATTTCTGTTTCTGTGCTATTATTACATTTACATTGTCAAACTAAGCCAAAAGAAAGGAATTTATAAAAATGTCAATTTAAATTTTTAGTTATAAACATTTTGCGCAAAACACTAGCACTAGCAAAGAATCTTGAAAACGCAAATTTGGAAAATCCCACGTCCGTGATAAAATTCTTCGACTTTTACAAATGTTACTTGCGACCCGTAAATTTGCAGTTTATTTTTTATTAATTGATCACTTACCTCAATGTACTGTCGATTTAAAATTCGCGTAGCTTGTGACAACAGTGTTTAAGCTTCACATGCGCCGCCTACCGCTTAGTATATAAGAGAAAGTTTGCAATGTTTCTTCCTACTTCGTCTCAACTGTTCAACGTTATATGTATTCAAGTAAGTCATTCTCCGTTTTGTTTTTTATAACGTGTCTGTTATGCATGCATAAAGCGTACGTATAAACGAATGCGCTATATTTTGGTGTCCCCGACGTGATCGCCGAAGAATGGTTTTCGTCGCGAATAACCTGAACCGGGTGGCATTCCGTTTCACGCCATTTTGTTGTTTTTCCTGGTCACTGGTGTTTACTAGCGACCACGTGTTCTAAAGTTTTATTTGGGAATCGAACAAATTCACTATGGCAACCAGCGACAATGGAGGCGGAAATTTGTCGGGCACCGAAAACATGGGACAGCAATCGCAGCCCCAACAACCGCACAACGCGGTATCCGCAGCACCGTCAGGAACAATCGCTACTATGTCCCTGACGTTACCAGCTTTCTGACCAAACCGGGTAGAGTTGTGGTTCTCAATGGCGGAGGCAAAATTTGAGTTAGTCTATCCGAAAATCACTCGAGAAATTTAATCATGTGCTAACAGTTCTCACTCCAGAAGTTGCCTCAAGGCTGCAATTATCGCCAGGACAGCGATGTCCGATTCACATAAATTGAAAAAATTACTCTCGGGAGATGAGTTAGGAACTCGGAAGCCATCACATGAAGCAATTAGTGCAGCACTCCGGATATGGCGACGACAAGGCCCTGAAGGAGCAATTCCTACAACAATTACCAACATCCGTGCAAGCCATCTTGGTGTCCCTGGACCAGCTCACGTTGAAGCCGTTAGCAGATACAGCAGACAGAGATACTCCCACTGTTACTGAGTAACTGCCGGTGCCAGCAACACCCAGTAGTGGCATCATGCCAAAATAGAATTCTATTGTGTGACGTAAATTTGACGTAATGAAATACATAACCACGAATTTTGTATCACGCCCTTGCTATTTTTCGTTCCTCTTTCGTTTTGCCCCACCGGTAGAATCGCTTACTAAACGACAAGTTTCTTGCTGGCGACTTGTGATGCATCTCTCTCTTTCATAACGTATTGAACAAAGATGAGAATAATAAACAAAATTGTTAATGCTTAAAGTGCTTAAACGTTTACCGTGCACATTTTGAGGTTACTGTTGTTTGTTAGTGTTTGGGTTATACTTTTACAAGAAAATAGTTAATTAAAACGTCTTGAAAAATGAGAGTGTAGGCTGCTCATTGGTCTCTTATTCTCGACACAGCTGAAAAACACCCTGAACTCATTACGAACAAATTCCATAGTGTTAAATGGAGAAGTGACAACAATAACATGTGGGACGAGCTTACCACAAAGCTCAATGCTTTAGGACATGGACAAAAAACAAAAGAAGAGTGGAAAAAAGTAACATACTATCATAGGTGACACATTCATTTCTTAATATCTCTTACAGCCTCTCACCAACTGGAAAAGTAAAACCAAAGCAAAAGCTGCTTCAATAAATAAACATGCTTTGGGCACTGGTGGTGGACCAAAAATAGTCATAATTTTGACTACCTTTGAAGAGCGATTGCTTCAAATCATGGGGAAAACTTCATACGAAGGAAATAAAGAAAACATAGAAAGAGGACTAAAGCGCAGAAAATTATTTGTAAGTCGTGTTGATAAATTACAACTATCTCAATGCATATTTGCAGACTGAAAGCAACGTCGAAATGGATAACTATTCATCTACTTCAAGTGATGCAGTCACATCTGAAATTTTGTCATTTCGACCTCAGCCTACCGTACACAAACCGACAACTCAGTGTTTGAATGAAATCATTAATTTCACACCATACCAACTGATAAAAAAACCTACAGATAGACAGACTCCACCTACCCCAATACACAGTTATACATCTAATCTCCACCTACCACCTCGGAATACGTTTACACATCCACACCTCAACATTTACATGAAACCGTTTCTCTTACACCACACCGCTTCACAAAATTATGTACAGATACCATGGCACTCCATACAGACTTCCCTAAACCACACCTGCATTCCCCAATACTGTTGTCCCAACAATCCCCAATAGTAAATACTTTGATTGATTCAGCCCCTTCTTCATCAAATCAGGTTGTTAATGTTGTCAGTCCACAACAACTTAGTGACACGGACATAGAAATCGTCACCGATCACACATATAGTATGTTAACCCAGGAGGGAAAAGAGGCACCATCAGAACACAAGGGAAAAGGCACACCATCAGAACAGACGAGGCATTTAATAAAGAAAAAAAAAAGGCCTGAACATCTGTTTGAAAGCATGCATAATGATTTATTAAAAGAAATTCAACAATATTAAACAATTATTGCAATCAAATGGCTACGAGTTTACAATCTATTGCAACATCCTTAAAAGAAGCAAACAAAAACAAAAAATGATATTAACAATTAAGACTATCTGTTGTACTAATCTTATTGTCTACATCTAAGAAAAACTATTACACTATTGAAAATAATTTTCAATTAATATTCTTCGAGCATCCCTACCATTTTCATTCATCTGCTGTACATTAACGTTCACTTCATTGGGAATTATACGTTCCATATTCTCTACGTCAAGTTCTAGTCTTGCATCAGTGCATATATTATGTAGCACTGCACATGCAACAACAATATTTCCAACCTTTTCTGGGGAATATCTCAATGTTCTCTCTCCCAAGACGCACCTAAACCTTTGCTTAAAAACTCCGTTACAACGCTCGATACAATTTCTTGCAGAAGCGTGGTGAGTATTGTATCGTTCTTCTGCAGATCCTGCAAGTGCATTTAATACAGGGGTCATTAGCCATGGCTGTTGCGGATAGCCAGAATCCCCTAAAAGCCAAGAATGACGATCTCCTGCTAAATAACACCTCTCCAGTTCTTGGTGAACTTCTGAATTTCGCCAAATGTAGGCATCATGAGTCGCACCCGCAAATTGGGGGTTTATGTTTAATATTTTCAAATTGTAATCACAGATCTGTCGGAAAGAATGCAATCAATCTAGGTTAATAAAGGGGTCTACTTACTATTTGAATATTTTTTGAATGGTAACCTTTTCTGTTAATGAAATTATGTTCTTCTTCCCGAGGAGCAATTATAGCGACATGTGTACAGTCAACTGCACCTATTACACCTGGAAAGTGTGTGGTTTCCCTAAATTTGACTTTAATTGCCAGTTTTTCTTCTTCAGTAGTGGGAAATTGGATCCACTCATCACTTAAATAATGCACAATAAGGTGACTGATTTCCTGAATGCAATTGGATACTGTATTTTGAGCCATTGATAACATAAAATTGTGACCCACCACTTTCTGATAAGCTCCATGACCAAGAAATATAATGCTGCAAACAATCGCAGCTCAGGGTTAACAGCATTTATATGTGCAGAGTGAGACATGTGGGGCGAAATTCTTTCAAGTATGTAGTGGACCATATGTTTTGTTAACCGAAAGCATCTAACAAAGTGCCTATCACTTAATGTAAATGGATCACTATTATTTCTGGCGATCCGACGTTCGATATTAAAATTACGCATTTCCTGTATTCTTTCCTCTTCTAAAATAATCTCCATTAAGTGCCGAAAATATGGAAGCAATCGAATTAATATCAAAAACCACTACCCTTAGGTTTTTTATAGGTTAAGTTTATTTACAAAAATAAATAACATCAACACACTGACAGTAATGAACGAAAAATCACAACGAATATAACTAGATATATTTGGGAAAGGTAATATGCAGCCGAACATGTACGAACTACAAAGCGATGATAGAAAACTATTTGGCGTGATACCAAATACGATTTCGTATCGGTTTTTTTTTGTGACGTCATAATATAGAATTCTACTTTGGTATGATACCACCACAGGAGCGATCCAAGTACTCAGTGTTACACAAGGTAAAAGCAACACTGACAGGAGCAGAAGTAGAAGTCGACGCCGCAAGCGTGATAACAACAAACCGTGGAATTGTTGGTACCACCACAAATTTGGTACCAATGCCAAGAAATGCACGTCACCATGCAGCTTCGAAAGAAAAAACGACGACTCGAAGTAGAGGCGACGACTACTGCAACCTCTCCCATAACTCGTCGTTTATATGTTAAGGATCGTGTGACCACGACACCGGTGCCGATAATAGTGTGCTGCCAGCACTATATAAACTAAAAGGCGCAAGTGCTTGTTTTAGTCTTCAATCGGTAAACTGATCGAAAATACAGACGTACGGTTCGCGAACATTAAATTCAAATTTAGGCTTACGACGTAACTTTAAGTGGACATTTGTGGTAGCGACAGTAGTGTGCCCAATCATTGGTTCCGACTTTTTGCATTATTAACGGGCTCCTAGAGAGTTTATAATTTTGCGATGTCCGTCCGTTAGCACGATAACTCATAAACGAATGGACCGATTACGATGAAATTTTGCAAGTGGATTCTTTATCAAATTTGTAGATCGGAGTTCGTGAATTGGCAATGTAGCCCAAAAAATAAAGTAGGCCCTTTTGACATCTCCGTTAGTTATTAGCCGAATTGCATGAAATTCAATATGCGCATAGCCTTAGCCATATAAAACAGAATTGCAAAAGTTGAGCCTAATCGATCCGCATTCACAGTGCCCTTTGCGCATCTCGACCATTTACAGACCGAATTGCAAACTTTCTTATTTATGAAGGTATTTAAATGAAATTTGATACATAGCCACTTGGACTAAAACCAAATTTAACACCAGTTTTAAAATTTCGTTTTGCGCATGCGCAGTGCCAACTTTCTTATTTATGGAAGCAATTAAATTAAATTTCATATATACAGGGTGTTACACGACCGTTCGAAAAAAAAATCGGGTTGTAGAGGGCATCAAAACAAGCACTTTTTCCAAATAAACCGAGGGTCCAACGTGTTTCGTTTGGGAGCCACCCCCAAAGAGTGTTGAAATCTGCATTTCTTCTTTAATTTTTTTCTCAGCAACCATAAGAGTTACAAAGTCGGGTGGCATGTCTTTGAATAGGTTTTTGGGTATGCTCTTTCCGATTTTGCAATTTTTTTTTCAAAATTCCTACCCCTAAAGGGCGCACCCCTAAACTAGGGTGCAAAAAAAAATTCTGATTTCGACGAAATTTGGTATCTGGGGTTTTTTTTAACATGAAAATCACGAATCTGAAATTAGTTTTTGAAAATTCGAAAAAAAAAGTTCCACTGCAATTCTTGGCGGGACAACGAAAATAGAGATAATTCCACGAAATTTGTTGTGTACATACTAAACGAGTTAAGGAACAAAACTGTCGAACAGTTTTTTAAAATAACTTTTCAAACAAAAGTTATACTCATTTGAATGTTGGTCCTTCGGGTCGCGAAGTGTCCCAAGCCTACTAGTAAGCCATAATTTCGCATGTGTTGGTTGACAATGTCGCAAAAACAAAAAATTAACGGTTTGAGTCGATATTTTGTTATTTGGAATTAATTCGGTCATTAAATGATTAAAAAATTCGATGTATCGATTAAAACACCTACCAAGGTATCTTAAAGGGCTGATCGATTGTTTATTATCTAAATAAGGTAGGGGAAATTTGTCCTTAAAAGGAGCGTGTTCTTTTGGAAGTTATTTTTCAACCTAAGATTATGAAAATTTTTGATCATAGTGAAAAAGTATCATACGGAAAGTGATTTGACTTTTTCCCCTACCTTATTTAGATAATAAATAATCGATCAGCGCTTTAAGATACCTTGGTAGGTGTTTTAATCGATACATCGAATTTTTTAATCATTTAATGACCGAATTAATTCCAAATAACAAAATATCGACTCAAACCGTTAATCTTTTGTTTTTGCGACATTGTCAACCAACACATGCGAAATTATGGCTTACTAGTAGGCTTGGGACACTTCGCGACCCGAAGGACCAACATTCAAATGAGTATAACTTTTGTTTGAAAAGTTATTTTAAAAAACTGTTCGACAGTTTTGTTCCTTAACTCGTTTAGTATGTACACAACAAATTTCGTGGAATTATCTCTATTTTCGTTGTCCCGCCAAGAATTGCAGTGGAACTTTTTTTTTCGAATTTTCAAAAACTAATTTCAGATTCGTGATTTTCATGTTAAAAAAACCCCAGATACCAAATTTCGTCGAAATCAGAATTTTTTTTGCACCCTAGTTTAGGGGTGCGCCCTTTAGGGGTAGGAATTTTGAAAAAAAAATTGCAAAATCGGAAAGAGCATACCCAAAAACCTATTCAAAGACATGCCACCCGACTTTGTAACTCTTATGGTTGCTGAGAAAAAAATTAAAGAAGAAATGCAGATTTCAACACTCTTTGGGGGGTGGCTCCCAAACGAAACACGTTGGACCCTCGGTTTATTTGGAAAAAGTGCTTGTTTTGATGCCCTCTACAACCCGATTTTTTTTTTTCGAACGGTCGTGTAACACCCTGTATATGAAAACTTCCTAACACACTGAAACTACCCACACAACTTACCCTTGCTAGCTCAATTTCACTAAAACTCTTTGAAACACAATAAAACATAAATCTCAGGGCCCGTAAAATGAGTCCGACTACCCTTTTTTTCGTCCGGACTAGGGGTAGCAACCTCGCCAGGTCGGTGGCTACCACCTCCCTTAAATTCCAAATAAAATAAACCCTTGTTAACTGACTTCTGGAATGAAATTTAAGTCCCACCGATGATCCAAACCTTTTTACGTTACCAAACTCGTTTCACACTCGGGATAAAAAAAGAAAACTTAAAATTTGAGAAACTCGAATCGTTGACCTTTACTTTGACACACAAATAATAAATGACAATAAAATTTACAAAGCTAAATGCACAAAATCTGAAAATAATAACTTAACACGAATTGAAACACAAAACCGTCTTAGACGGCGATTCTTACAATTAAATTAAAACAAAAATGACAGTACTCACGATCTGTGTACAAGCTAATCCTTTTTACAAATGCACAAACGACTGATGCACACAAAAACACAAACACAACCCCAGGTATGTGCTGACACTGTACAGCTACTCCAACAGCTCCTCGGCGATGCTGGAGTTAAACAAACGTTCCGCCATGTCCAGACAATGTAAAATACAATGCAAACGAAGTCTCGCTGCTAAAATGGCGTTATTGTACCGCTCGTTTCCCTTCAACAAACTCCTTCCAAAGACCTTCTTAAACTCCTCGATGCCGGCGTAATTCAAACGTTCCCGGACTTTCAAATAACAATAAACGATGAATAAACTGGCGGAACTTTAGCAAACGCCGCTACAATAAACTTTCCAAAAATTTTCACGTAAGACAACACGTAGACTTCGCGAAACGGTACAATAAGCGCCTTCTCTTCGCTGTTCAAACCATTTATACGCCACCCATCGTCAAATCTCGTTGCGACGCTTTTCCATATAAAATTTGAATTTCGGAGCCGATAAAACTAAACGGTCGACTCCGCGGATCAATAACATAATTGCATAAATAAAACTATTACCGATCGTAAATCAACTTAGACTGGCACTTTTACGAGTACACGCCAAAATTCCTATGAAATTCGCTCTTAAACAACTAAACGTTTCCTTATCTAAAGTAACACTTGTGCAAAGCGCGTGCACTCTGCTAACTTCCACGAATTTAACAATAACAAGACAAAATTTATTACATTTAAAATTTTAATTACGGATTCGATTTTCCCAGACTTAAGTTTCTTAATTAACTCCGGCCGAGCATTAATTGAACTAAAACAACGATCCCATAAAAATGGGAAATAAACTTCTTTCCAGAGTAAATAAATGCCGTCCAACTGCGGCCTAATAAAAAACACTATATATATATCGCTACTGCGCGTGAAAAAGTGATAAGTCAAAGAAGCGGCTTTTGAGAAAACTTGCGTTTAAATTCTGACTAGACTTCAAATGCTTCTGACGTGGCGTTTTCATGAATGATTTTAATATTGATTTCGTGCATTATGTTTATTTATAGTAAATTCGACGTCAAACTGAATTTTACTTTATGCCCTAAGGACTTCTTGAGGACTTAACTCATTTTTCACAGCTTCTTTCTGACTTAGCTTAGTTACCACCTTTCAACCAAATTTTTTAAAATAATCTCACAGTATAAAAACTTAAACGTAAAACACATAAAAAAGATTACAAACTTTTATTTAAAAAAGAAACAGAGTAATTATCAAATACAAAAGAAATAAAAAATGTTTTTAATCATCTTCATCATCGGATGCATCCGGGTATACATCAGCTTCTTGTTCGTTTGTTGGAAGCGTTAAGTAAAAGTTTCTGATAGA